GAGATTCTGCTTCACATATGAGCGATAAATTGATTTTCTATCCATGGCACTGTACTGATAGGGTTAACTACCTTGATTGAAGACCACGCTACTTAATGCAAGTCGATTTTCAAGAAAATCACTGTGCCAAGCACTTCACTGGAAGGACTTCATCTACATACAGCAGCAACTGTGACCTGCTTTAGAGATGACATCATTGGGTGTCATGTGGCTCTTTATATGTTTCAGCCTCAGAAAGAGATAATCTGTGAAAGCTACAAGAGCCTGATTTCTGTGTGATGATCTTCAGCAGTCGGACACTGGGGCTTGAGTGAGGCATAGCTGTTTACGTGACGTGTGCAGTGCCTTGTGGAATTCTCAGCTTTATTTCATTTTGTAATTTTTTGTCAAAAAGTAGATGCAATTATGGAATGAAGTTAATTGGCTGCTTTGGACTAACGGGAGCTTGTTTTCTGCATTAAGATCAAGAACTTTTCTGGGATCCTCTGTTCTCTGAGTAGCCTTGTATTCTAGGTGTGTTTTTTCAATTTGAAGAACACTGACAAAATCAGCAAATTTCATCTCCCAAAGAGCTCTCCCTCTTTTTTGTCAATACTTGAAGATTTCTGCCCCCAAATCTTCTTTGAGCTGCCTGAGCATTGTGCTTGGTAACTGAAGGGCAAAGCGTCTCCTGTGTAGTATGTGTTACAGAAATTCTTCAGATAACTTTATTTGCTAACAGAGACGGTCGTTTATGGATTTCTTTCAAAGCCAGCTCAAATAAACAACTCCTTCCTTTCAAATGGGCAAGGGAAACTCTTCAGCACCATGGAGAGGTCCGGGCAGCGTGCGACGACGTGGGACTATGACCAGGGCAAGCAATCAGATACTGTGAGTTTTCCAAACGTCTATCATCTGTCTTAGGTGTATCATACTTTTACGTATGGAAAGAGGAAACTCCAAAGCCTAATCAAGCCAGGCTAAATTTAAACGATAAAAAGTGATGGCCTTTGTTACATTTCAAATTCAGGATTAGCCATTCAAAATTATTATATTAGAAAGTGTTAATATATTAACTTGAAAAATTGCTTTCTCATTGCATCAGTTGGCATGTGAATTTTTGATGCTTTGAATTCTGAGAATCTAAGTTTTTGTTCTCATTCACCACAAATTAATTTCATTGCAGCTGGACAAAACAATTGCTTTGAAAATAGAATTTTTATAGACACATTGAAATAGTTCCAAATGTACAGTTCGTTGCCCTTCATAAACACAAACCTTTCTTTGAAAAGTAGTCTCTGATTTGTGAGGACGGTTTTAAACTTTGCTTGCCGATCATGCTTTCAGTTACCGACAGAGCAAACGTCTGGGCTTTCTAATGTCGGGACGCACGGGGGATATTTGATGACTTCTGAAATTTTAAATTGACTGGCATAAAATATGTACAGTAAGAGCCTGTGGTAAATGGAAAGGACAGATCCTTTTATAAAATGATGATATATGGGCCACCGAAGAGGTACTTTTAGGCATCATTGAAAATATTTAATTAGTTTCAAAGTAGTCCAATTTAATGATTCAAACCAGAAATTTAAAAAATGGTTTATTCAGAAACATCTTTTAACAGCCTCCTTAAAACTGCCAAAGGTGTAGTTCTTTGATATTATGACATCACACAGCCAATGAAGAAACAATACTTGAAATTGCTACCAAGAATGACCCCAACAGAAATTTTGATTAACTATTCAAATTTGTCTAAGAGAACATAGTATCATAAAAAAGTAATTTAACAAATAATTATCTTTTCTCAGGCCAGTTAAGTGAGGTTTGGAACATTTATTTATGCTGAACCATTTGTTTTAAAGTCTAATACAACTATCATTTAATATTATTGTGATGTGGAATTTATTTCTTTCAATAGTTCTCATATGTAAAAACCAGTAGTGAATGTAATTTACTTAGCTAAATCCCTAATTCAAATATAACTAATTCTTTCTGTTATAGATTATTTCCAAGTGAATTTGCTGTTGCTTCTTAATTCTCAGTAATTTGGCATTTGATTTTTGGATAAATGGCACTTATATTTTGGCAGTGTATGGAGGGCAGAATTTTCGAGGATGTGACAATTTTATATTAAAGAGATCTTGTTATGCATTTTTGCCAGCTTTGCTTAATAGATTCATTGATGATTTCTTTAATTGATGTCAATATCTAAGAGAACTCAGTTTTTGAAAAGAAAGACAGATTCATGATTCTAGTTCTTTTAGTTTCGTTTCCCCAAATTTGATAATTCTACTTTGATTTTTGCAAATGGATAAGTATTGGCTTTCACACATTGTTGAGTGCACTTCTGTGATTTTAAACCTTTGATTATTCTTTTATGATAAACTGTATCCAGCCCTGCTGGTAGTGGACTTTGGATAAATCATTCTGGTTGATTAGACAACATTCTAATTTAGAGGTTTGAGGCTCATGTCATAAGGAACATCTACTTTATGTTCCGAAATGGGGGGAAATTTACCTGATTTAGAAATTTATTCTCTCACAACCTGTGTCTCTCAAGCATGTGATTCATTTATGATATTGTTAGAAGTGTAACATTTTCTATTTCTTGCTTTTTTGCACACATTTTAGTGATGTATTTATAACAACAGCTAGCTCACATATACATTTTGTAATTCAGAAACGGTTGTCTATGTATTTATTTAACCAAAATTTGTTGCTATGTGACAAACCACAAACACATTTTGGCTTCTGGACAGCCTTTCAATCATTGTTAAAATAACATAAATCATTTGAACAATAAAGAAATGTCCAGAGCTGTTTAGACTGTGAGCTATTCACAATCTATTTCTTTTTCTTTCTTTCTTTCTTTCTTTTTTTTAATAACATTCTGGTGGTAGCAGATGTGTGTGAACAATCTTAAATTTAGTTGAGTGACATTTTGCTTTTCTTGCCAACATCAAAATATGCTCATGGATCTCTTTTTCGTGGTCCACCCACCCTTGAAAAGGCTTTATAACCTTTGGCTACAAAAGATTTAGGGGCATATTTAGTTAGTGAAAAACACACTAGTTTAGGATGATTTGCAGAGTGGCTGAACCTAGAGGGAGCCGATTAACAGGTGCAGTTCTTACTGCTGATTTCAACCTTTTTTGGCACCAAGAGATATGTTGATTTTGGAAATAACTCTTTCCAAGCTACTCACACATCCCTTTCTGTCGCATGAGTCTCCATCACAGCTTCCAGCCAGAAGCAGCTCTTCCAGCTACAGTCTCAACAGGACCAGTTTCAGTAGGGGAGAACCTGAAAGTGGAATGTGTTGCAGGAAGGTCCCAAAGGGTAGCTTCTTAGAGGAAAATGGGGCTCTCTGGGATTATTTCAGTGAGGCAGGGCCCTGATTGCTGTCAAATGGACTCTAGGCTTGCTTTAGTGTGTTTCAGGCATTATGGGCAGGACTCAGATGACATCTGAGTGCCCAAGGGCAATTCTCCAGGTTCCCAGAGAGTCACCCTGGGTTGATTCTTCTGCATGGAACTTTCTATCATGTGATTTTTGTCTTCAGTTATCATGTTTTACTGTTAGTGTTCCCTCCCTCTCCCAATTGTGCTCACAAGGGACCTTCCTACTTTATAGTACATGTTGGGCCTAAGTAGATATGAACTCACTGATTTAAGATTTATATTAAATATTACTAGAAACTGTGGAGTGTTCTGAACTGTTTCAGAAAACTGAAAAGAGCTTTGGGACTTTCCAAGAAAGATATCCAGATAGCTGAAAGATTAGAGATATCCTCCAAAGAGAAGTGTCTGGTTGCCCTACTTTTCTCGTCTTAACTAGTCTTAAATCCTGGTCCCTCTAAATGAATCTGGTTCCCTCCCATAAGTGAGCTCAAGCCGGAACCTGTAAAACACCTACACACACCCAGGCATTGGGATGAATTCAGGCCATTTCCATCTTGCCTAATTTATCCTGTGCTCCTAGTTCTCTTCTTACTTGGATCTTTGACATCATCTCATCTGGGCTTCTGCACTTGCCACACTACAGGACACAGCGCCTGACTCCTTTGATAAGACCCATCTTGATGGAAAACCCATTTTGATTGCAACCTCTGCAATGATCTCAGCAAATGCTTCTCCAGGATGCTGTTTTGGTGCTTTATCTCTGACCCCCGAGCACCACAGTGGCTGGAAAGAAACATCTCTTAACCTAGGGGTTTCGTTTTGGGTGCACAGGAACTGATGGAACTGTACCGGGCGGATCATTGTGTTGATGTGATGGTGTTGGCATGGTGCTGACATGTCCTTTGACTATCCATTATTTATTAAATATCTTTCAATTTTAAGAACTGGTCAAACATAGACTCAGCCCAATGATTTGAGGATAGTTAGAAGAGTATCAAGCTTCAGTGCCTAGAGCCAAGTCCTACAAATTTATCCGTATTTGTTTTTTTCTTAGCAGATTGGCCCTGAGCTAACATCTGTTGGCAATTTCCCTCTTTGTTTTTCTCCCCAAAGCCCCAGTACATAGTTGTTTATCTAGTTGTAGGTCATTCTAGTTCCCCTATGTGGGACACCACCTCAGCATGGCTTGATGAATGGTGCATAGGTCCACACCCAGGTTCCACACCAGTGAACCCCAGGCCGCTGAAGAGGAGTGTGCAAACTTAACCACTCAGCCGCTGAGCTGGCCCCAAATTTACCCATATTTAACTTTTGTTGGGATTACTGGAAATATAAATACAGGCATTGTATCTGGACTTCAGTATGATTCTGAAGATTTTTTTCTGATATCTCTGTGGGGAAAATAAAGAACTGTGGATGGAACAGTAATAGCAATTGGCACATTTTTGCCTGGTTAAATAGCTTTACCAAAATAGTGTTAACTAATGAATCAGAGCTGGCCTGGAGGGAAGTCTCTAGTGGTGTGTAATAGGTTCCTGTTGTAAGCATTATTTTTATCAATGATCTTAAATAAAATCTTTTTCCTACCTCTCATTTCATTGTTGAGGAAATTTCATTCAGGAAAGGAGAAACAACTTGCTTAAGATCAGCTAGCTGGTCAGCTGCAGAGGTGGAGCTAGAAACCAGATTCTTCTGACCCTCAAGCAAGAGGATTTCTATTGCGATATGTGCTCACCAAGGAACTCCAGTGCTGAGCAATCAGTGGAAGTTTGTGGAGAAATTTTTAAATTTAAAATAAAAACAACTTTTTAAACTTTAGAGCTGTCATTCAATGGTATAAGCTTTCTCATAAAGCAGAGAGCTTCTCAGCACCAGAAATGTGCACGCACAGACTGGATGGGCGACATCAGAGATGCTGTGCAAGGGGACTCTCTATTGTGTGTGTGTGTGCATGTGTGTGTGTGTGTAGCTGTTGGACTAGATGATCTCTAAGTTATCTTTCAACTTGAACATGGAGAGCCGACGTTAGTACAATGTTGTCTCATTAAAAAGAGAAAACAAGAATAATTTCTTCATTCAACATTTATTAGGTACATACTCAAAGCACTGTGTGTCTCTAAGACCTGACATGATTACCCAAGTCTGACTGAGCCCCCTGAGAAACCACCTATTTGAGAAGAAGTAAGAAAGGAGGAGATTGAGAATGAGTTAAAATAAAGAGGATGGAAAAAGAAACCCCAGGAGGGAGAGTAAGATGCACCACTTGGATCTGTTTGAGAAGGGAAAATTAGGTTAAAGGGAAAAAAAGCAGAACCAAAATTATAATTTATCTCTTCATTATCTCTAGCATGGAGATACTTCAATGCATGCAAAAGAAAAAAAAAATTTAGAATTTATTGATCCCTAATAAATTCTATGATTCTAGTCAGGATTATCAAATCTCTAATGAGCTTTTGCCTGTATCCTTTCAACCTGTGTAGCTGTAGCTGCATAATCTACCCTTAGAGATTCTATCCCAGTTGCCGTCTGTCCTTGTCCTAATTGGGAGAAATTCTGAAGCTGTAGACCGTCAATTCAAGGACTCAACATTGTCAGCTTTGCTGCTGGCCCTGCTCTGAATTGGCATCTTTCCTTGATTAACTGGATTTTTCCCATACATGGTATTTTTAGGCTATGCTGTAACAAATATATCCAAAGTAGAATAGCGCAAGCACAGCAGAAGTTTATTCTTGATTAGGTATCAGTACGGGACTGATGGGCAGGTCAATGGGATGACCCTCCTTCATACAGGCATTCAGAGAACCCAGGATGTTGTAGGCTCTGCCATCTTCAATGTGTGGTTTCCAAAACACCCTAGAATCAAAACCTAAAGCAAACCAGAACGGGAAAAGGAAATGGAGAGGCGGACATGGAAGGTTGTAATGGACCAGGTCTGTCCAAAAGAGACACACATCCCTCAACTCATGTTCTTTTTACTGAACTCGGTCATATACCATACCTAACTGCAAGGAGACTGGGAAATATAATCCCACAGGACACATAAAAATAAGGCAAGAAAATGGATTTCAGATCACTTAGTACTTTCTGCCTTACCTGGACTTCTGTTCCACCTGGGAGGAATTCTTCTTCCAAACCAGTGTTTCCTGCTTCTACAAGCATGGCGCGCTGCCAGGTCTGCTCGGTGCTACCTTCTCTACAGCCTTGGCCACTGCATATTTCAGTCCTGCAGGGTGCAAACGACAGAACCTAACCCAGTTAATTTTAGCTGAAAATGAATTTATTAGAAGGATATCAGCTATCTCACTGAATAGACAGGAAGGCTGGAGAATCAGGCTCAGAAAACAAAGAGGCACAAAGGGAAATTGGCCAGCCAGAACCCCGGGAAAGGCACACGGAAGGGGCAACATTGCTGGAGTGCTGCAGGCCTCAGGGACATCAGAGGCAGCGGTCACATGGGGTCTAAAATGTGCCTGCTGCTCTGAGACACTTCCTGCAGACTCAGAGTCCTGGGCAGGGCGCCCCGTTGACTGGTGCAGATCATGTGTCTGAAGCCATATTGTTTGGATCCGGGGAAGGGAAGTTACTTCTGTAGCCGGGGGTAGAATTCTATTCCTTGCTGTGACTGCCATAAATAACAGTGGAGTCAGTAATGACAGGACAGGGGCTCAGATGCACCAGAAAAAAAGAAGGGAATCCACAGTGCCTGCTGCCGTAAGACACTCTAGGGCTGTGTTCGGTCTACTGATGGCCCAGGCCAATTCTCACTGCTTCCAGTTGGCCACACCCCTCGACTGTGCCTTACTGCTGTGACTAGACCATGCCTGTTTTCCCTCCTAAGATGCGTTCTGATCACTTTCACCAGTTTATTACCCTAATCCACCCGGCATCCTGTGTGAGACTCACTCTGGCTCTTTTTCATGCTAGCCGAACTTTTCAGGTCCTAGTCCCACAACACTTGGCATTGTTTTGAGAACTAAATTCAGACCTGGGACCTATGTGATCAGTCTGCATGGCCATCACCCAGACATTTGACCCATCTCCTCTGGGATTTTCTCATCTGTAAAATGAATGAGTTGGCTCAATTCCCATTAGTCTCAAAGGGACGCCGAGAGCTTAACAAGATGGTCCTTCGAGACATTTGGAACACAGGGTGGCATTATCACATTATTATTTTCACAAGCTGTTCACCTGAAGGGAGAAAATAAAGAGTGGAAATTTAATGCCAGAGAGGTTTATGGCACTTTGTCAATTCGACATTAGCTTTGAGGGCTTTTGGAATTTTGCCTGAAATTTTCAGTACAAAGCAGCTAAAAGCTGCGTTTTTCTGGGCTTGTGATATTCCCGTCCCGAGGGACAGCATTAGGCATTTGTGAGGGATGAACTGTGCCAGACCCATTTCCCAATGTCCCAGCAACAGACACAAAGAAGCAGTGCACACTCTGTCACTTGCTGCTTGTACCCACATTTCACACTTGGAACGGCACCTCTGACTTGTGCCAGAAGCAAAGGGCGGGAGAGGAATGATCCACATACGCATGTGAAGGAAGCTCCCTGTCTGACGTGCGGGCCCCTTATGGCTGGGCAGCTTCAATTGGAGCGGTCAGATGGACCCTACTGAGGGTCACAGAGCCTTTTTGAGACCTTTCAAAATCACCCACACCACAGTACTCTTTGAAAGAGAGCTACTGGTTATGCAAACGTCACATTTGCCACCTAAACCCAAGAATAGGCTAATTAGAAGTAGGGAGGAGAAGTGTATGCTTTTGGAACTTCATTTTAATGATTTTGGAAGGAAGAGAAAGGCAGGAAAACTTGTTGGGATCCAGGAAAGCATTTATTCACGTGTTTAAAGTTTAAGCTATGTGATCATAATTACACACAAAAGTTCTAAGTGGTTTCCTTTATTTAGACCAGAATTGTTTTCAAATACCTAGGCTTCCACATATGTGCCTAAAACTCATATTTATGTATATTTTAAAAATAATAATATGCCATTCCTATATTCGAGTAAAAGGTGTTGATAGAAATTGTTCAGTGTAAAGTACAGCTTTGAACCTGCTTACTCTTAGTAAATACATTTTATGTCTTCAGAAAGACCAACAAGCCTGAGCTTTGTCAGTGGAAGGGAGCTACTTGCCATTTAAAACAAAGTTCAGTGCCCACTAGTTTACCCAAAACTGTTAGGAAATGAGGCTTCTCTAGCGGTTAAGATCTGGTGCTCTCACGGCCGCGCCCAGGTCCATTTCCCAGTCAGGGAAGCACACCGCCTCTCCGTGCTCGGTTGTCACACTGTGGTGGCTGCATGTTACTGGGGTGCTGGAAGCTCTGCCACTGGCATTTCAAATAGCAGCAGGGTCACCCGTGGTGGACAGGTTCCAGCAGAGCTTCCAGACTAGACAGAGGAGGAAGAAGAGCCTGGCCACCCGCTCTGAAAAATTGGCCGTGAAAACCCTATAAATAGCAGCAGAGCACGTCTGATACCGCACTGGAAGGTGAGAGGATGGCGCAGAGAGACCGCGCAGGGCTCCGCTCTGCTGTGCACGGGGGCGCTGAGAGTCGGAGTCAACTCAAGGGCACCACCAAGAACATCAATGAAATTACCAATAATGGCAGGTTACCTTTGTTTCCAGTCAACATATTTTAAGGGACAAAGTTTTTAAATCACATTATAAAATTCTGTCTCATTTTATAGCAATGCTTATTCATTTCTAATTCTAATATGTATGTATGCTCGTTTAAAAAGTATAGACAAGGTTTAAAAAATATTTCTCAGTCAATCTAATAGACAGAGACCACCATTGTTAATATTTTGGTGAGTTTTCTTAGAATTATATGTATACACTAGAGATTATATATATATATATATATATATATATCCCTTAATATTTCCAATATTTTGAATTTTGCTTTTTATTTATTTATTTGGTGAGGCAGATTATCCCTGAACTAACATCTGTTGCCAATCTTCCTTTTGTTTATATGTGGGACGCCTCCACAGTATGGCTTGATGAGCGGTATGTGGGTCCGCGCCTGGGATCCAAACCTGTGAACCCCGGGCTGCTGAAATGGAGCGTGTGAACTTAACCACTCTGCCACTGGGCCAGCCCCTTGAATTTTGCTTTTTAAACTCAATGTTTTAATTTATATATCATTAAAATTCCTTAAAATCTGATAGTTTAATATGAATGTTTGCATAATATTAAATCATATAGATATATGAGCAATAATTAATTGAACCATGCCACTTTTCATATCAACAGCATCAACATTGGGGGTGTTTATGTAATTTCACATTTCTATTTCCTTACAAGAGATTACCCTAAGCAGAATAAAATTTTTATAAAACTTTGTAAGGATCTTGCTACATATCATCACATTTCTAGAACTGTTCTGTCAATACCATTAGTTTGATAGACTGAAATATCTGGCTTTGTTTTTGCCTGTTGTTTTAATGAAGTTTCATTGTCTTTCTCAATTATTTGTATAAACTCCTTAAATATTATGTACACTAGTCTTTCGCCTTCATATTTGTGGGAAGTATTTTCTCAAGTTATATGTTTATTTATGTTTATGCTGTTTCAATCTATAGAATTTTAAATAATTATTTTTATAAAAGAAAATCTATTTAGTATCTCTTTTTATCTATGTATGTTTCTAGCATTTTTTTATGTTTTCAACTTTAACATTTGGCTTAAGTTCATTTGAAATTTTGGCATAGGTAGGAAGAGAAGCAAGAGTCTTATTTTATTCCAAGCAATTAACCCATGACCTGAGCACCATTTACCCACTAATCCTTTCTTCTCCACTGGTTAATGACACGTTTGTCACATGTTAAAATCTATCTATTAGAATCTCCTGAAATATTTTCCTGGTTACATCTGTTAATTTGTTATCATACTGTTTTAGATATTATATTGTTTTATAGATTTTAATGTCTGGTGGAGAAATTCTCCACTTCATTTCATGTTCTTAGTCATACACATTCCAGATAAACTTTAAAATTATGTAGTTGACTTCCAAAAGAAACTTTTGGCGACTTTAATTGGAATTGTACCAAATACACAAACTGATATGATAAAAATTGATGTCTTTACAAATTTGTTTTTCCTATCTAGGAATGTAGCGTATATAGATAGATATGGGTATGGATACAGATACAGGTATTAGGGAAGATTTGAAATTTCATTATATACATTTACTACTTTTTTTTAACAAGTTCATTTTTTAACAAGTTGATTTTTTTTAACATGCTGTAACCATCTGTCACTCAGTAAGTCTAAAAATCGGCTATATTGAAACTAACTTTTTAAAAAATGATTTTATTCAGGTCATATTGGCTTACAACATTGTGTAAATTTCAGCTGTACATCACTCTGTATAGACTGCATCATGCTCACCACCCACAGTACGGTTTCCATCTGTCACCATACATATCCTTTACCCCTTTCGCCCTACCCCACCCCCTTCTTCTCTGGTAACCACTAATCTGTTCTTATCTATGTGTTTGTTTATTTTCCACATATGAGGGAAACCATATGGTATTCATCTTTCTCTGTCTGACTTACTTTGTTTAACATGATACCTTCAAGGTCCATCCAAGTCATCACAAAGGGCACAACTTTATCTTTTTTATGGCTGAGTAGCATTCCATTGTATATGTATACACCAGAATTTCTTTATTCATTAATCTGTTGATGGGTACTTAGGTTGCTTCCACATATTGGCTATTGTGAATAATGCTGCAGTGAAAATAGAAGTGCATGGATCTTTGTGAATTATTAACTTCATGTTCTTTGGATAGATACCCAGGAGTGGAATAGCCAGATCACAAGGTTTTTCTATTTTTAATTTTTTCAGAAACCTCCATACTGTTTTCCATAGTGGCTGTACTAGTTTGCATTCTCACCAGCAGTGTATGAGGGTTCCTTTTCTCCACATCCTCTCTAACACCTTGTATTTCTTGTCTTGTTAATTATAGCCATTCTGACAGGTGTGGGGTGATATCTCATTGCAGTTTTGATTTACATTTCCCTAATGATTAGTGATGTTGAACATCTTTTCTTGTGCATGTTGGCCATCTGTATATTTTCTTTGGAAAAATGTCTGCTCACATCCTCTGCCCATTTTTTGATAGAGTTGTTCATTTTTTTGTTGTTGAGGTGTATGAGTTTTTATATATTTTGGAAATTAACCTCTTGTTGGATATAAGATTTGCAAATATTTTCTCCCAGTTTGTGGGTTGTCTTTTCATTTTGTTCATGGTTTCCTTTGCTGTGCATGAGCTTTTTTTAGTCTGATGTAGTCCCACTTGTTTATTTTTTCTTTTGTTTCCCTTGTCGTAGACATGGTATACGAAAAGATACTGCTAAGACTGATGTCAAAGAGTATACTGCCTCTATTTTCTTCTAAGAGTTTTATGGTTTCAGGTCTTAAATTCAAGCCTTTAGTCCATTTTGAGTTAATATTTGTATATGGTGTAACATAATGGTCTACTTTCATTCTTTTGTATGTGGCTGTCCAGTTTTCCCAACACCATTTATTGAAGAGACTTTCTTTTCTCCATTGTACATTCTTGCCTCCTTTGTCAAAGATTAGCTGTCCATAGATGTGTGGTTTTATTTCTGGGCTCTCAATTCTCTTCCATTGATCTGTGTGTCTTGTTTTTCTGCCAGTACCATGCTATTTTGATAACTATAGCTTTGTAGTATATTTTGAAGTTAGGGATCGTGATGCCTCCAGTTTTATTCTTTTTTTCTCAGGATTGCTTTAGCTATTTGGAGTCTTTCATTGTTCCATATAAATTTTGGGATTCTTTGTGCTATTTCCATGAAGAGTGTCATTGAGATTCTGATTGGGATTGCCTTGAATCTGGAGATTGCTTTAGGTCATATGGACATTTTAACTATGTTTATTCCTCTGATTCATGAGCATGGAATGTCTTTCCATTTCTTTATGTCTTCTTCAATTTCTGTCAAGAATGGCTTATAGTTTTCAGCGTATAGGTCTTTCTCCTCCTTGGTTAAATTTATTCCCAGGTGCTTTATTCTTATCTTGCAATTGTAAATGGGCTTGTATTCTTGATTTCTCTTTCTGCTAGTTTGTTGTTAGTGTATGGAAATTTAACTGATTTTTGTATGTTGTTTGTACCCTGCAACTTACTTTATTTGTTAATTATTACTGTAGTTTTTGGTGGATTCTTTAGGGTTTTCTGTATATAGAATCATGTCACCTACAAATACTGACAGTTTTATTTCTTCCTTTCCAATTTTGATTCCTTTTATTTCTTTTTCTTGCCTAATTGCTCTGGCTAAAACTTCCAATACTATGTTGAATAAGAGGGACGAAAGTGGACACCCTTTTCTTGTTCCTGTTCTCAAAGCAATGGCTTTCAGTTTTTCACTAAGGATGATATTGGCTGTGGGTTTGTCATATATGGCCTTTCTTAGGTTGAGGTACTTTCCTTCTACGTCTGTTTTTTTGTCGAGAGTTTTTTTTTTTTTATGGAAGGTTAGCCCTGAGCTAACATCTGCCACCAATCCTCCTCTATTTTGCTGAGGAAGACTGGCTCTGAGCTAACATCCATGACTATCTTCCTCTACTTTATATGTGGGATGCCTGCCACAGCGTGGCCCGACAAGTGGTGTGTAGGTCGCATCCAGGATCTGAACCGGCAAACCCCAGGCCACTGAAGCAGAACGTGCGAACTTAACCACTACACCACCAGGCTGGCTCTTGTTGAGGGTTTTTATCATAAATGAATGCTGTATCTTGTCAAATGCTTTCTCTGCATCTATTGAGATGATCATGTGATTTGTATTCTTCATTTTGTTAATGTGGTGTATCACGTTGATAGATTTGCAGATGTTGAACCATCTCTGCATCCCTGGAATAAATCCCACTTGATTGTTGTATATGATCCTTTTAAAGTATTGTTATATTTGATTTGCTAATATTTTTTTGAGGATTTTTGCATCTGTGT